TGAACTCATATATGAACTCTTTATTCTCTTAAAATGTGTTATTATGAGTGTTTAGAATATTATAATTAACAAATATATACTATCTATATTACCAAAATAAAAATGTCTTCAGAGTACCGTCCTCATATCTGAGGGTTGGCGACCACAGTCTTCCTCTCTAAACGTTCTCGGGCTGTTTTTACCAATCCTCTAAGGTTTGTATCTCTCTGGGGACACAGTTTTTAATATCATTCATCCACCTCAGTCTCTGCCTTCCCCTGGCTCTCCTACCCTCAACTTTACCCATTATTATTTCTGTTATCTCCTCATCCCTAATTATATGACCAAGTATCTCATTTTCTTCTTTTTTTTCTGTACATTTCAAGTATTTCTCTTGAATTTTTATCTAATCTTAGTACTTCTTCAATTATTTTCCTGTCAGTGTAGCTTATTCTTAACATTCACCTAAAACACCTCATTCGAAAGGCCTCCGATCTCTTTCTGGTGTCTGCTGAAAGTGTCTTATAACAGTTGATAAATTCAATCCTAAGATGAATGAGTAATGTTTTTGAACAACTTCTAGTGGTGATAACTATGCGTGTGTTGGCGGGTTACAGCTGATACACGTAAACAAACTCTGTTGCTGCAGAAGGTCTTGTGTGGAAATATGAAATGAATATAAGATTAAGTTTAATGAGCATAAAGTGTACTTGAATTAATACTGGTTAGGAGGAGGCGTCTCTATCCGACAGACGACCTCTAAAATTCGTGGAAGATGAACCACCTACACAACTCACTCTTATTTCAGGGAACGTTGGGTGTTTGCATCATCGTCTGACCCTCTGGGAGAGTAGTCGACAACTCCATCACCATCTGGGAGAATCATCGACAACTCCTTCACCATCTGGGAGAATCATCGACAACTCCATCACCATCTGGGAGAATCATCGACAACTCCATCACCATCTGGGAGAATCATCGACAACTCCATCACCACCTGGGAGAATCATCGACAACTCCATCACCATCTGGGAGAATCATCGACAACTCCTTCACCATCTGGGAGAATCATCAACAACTCCATCACCATCTGGGAGAATCATCGACAACTCCATCACCATCTGGGAGAATCATCGACAACTCCATCACCACTTGGGAGAATCATCGACAACTCCATCACCACCTGGGAGAATCATCTACAACTCCATCACCATCTGGGAGAATCATCTACAACTCCATCACCACCTGGGAGAATCATCGACAACTCCATCACCACTTGGGAGAATCATCGACAACTCCATCACCATCTGGGAGAATCATCGACAACTCCATCACCACTTGGGAGAATCATCGAAAACTCCATCACCATCTGGGAGAATCATGAACAACAACTTCATGTACCCAACACCACGGGTCGTCTTCCTTACCCAAACATAAAGGCATAACACTCTTAACGCCGTCATAAACGTGTCTTAACAACCCGAAGAAATGAAGAAACAAGACAGAAGTGTATGACAGGTCAGTGAGAGAGCAACGTGACCTAATCCGCCTGGAGACACACCACCGGGAAGAGAGGAAGAGGAGCGAGGAGCCGTGTGGGAGCCTAGTCAGCTGGCCCCGGTGAGTATACATAATAATCTCTATTGCTTATATGTTCCACTGGCCCCGACCTTCATGTGTAATTGAAAGTCACCTCAGTGTGGAGTGTAGCGTAAACCATCAGCTTTTGGACAGACTTGACGGGTTCTGTTACTGTCGGGCTGTCTATTTGTGCGTGTGTGTTTATTTCTGTCCTTCTGTGTGTATGTGATCTTATCGCCGCCGTCTTGGTGTATACTATATACTGTACGTTCTCTTGTGTATGATTCTACTACGCCGTGTGTAAACTGTCCCTTGTGTATGAAACTATTGATCTCTGCTGTGTATGAACCGATGTTCCTGGTTGTGTCGTGGATAAGGTAGGTGAAATGAGATGGTTTAAGTGTCAAATATGCCCTAATTCTATTGGGCCCCCAGTCTTAATAGTTCCAAATTCCTAATGGGCACCAATCTTGGTTGAATATTTTCTTTAGGATTGTTTAGGGTCCATTAAGATTTTTTTTGGGGGGGGGCTCATTTTACCATTCAGTAGTGAGTTGTTGTTTTAAGTTGTGTTGTGTAACTTGATGTGATTACCATAATGCGTATCACTGTATGTTTCCTTCCATGACGGTCAGTTTATCGGGAAGTGATTTTTTTTTTTATACTCGGCAACATTCGTCTCAAATACCTGTAGGTTAGAGGTGTGTCTCCTGATATTTGTTGTTGGTCTTGTGTATTTATTGATGGAGAATACGACCTGAAAGACCTTAGTTATTGAAGGGCAGTAATACCAACAACCTAACCTAACCTAACATTAACACAACATTAGTTTATAGAGATTTTTTTTTACGTATGTTATGCTCTTATGGAGTTGGGTGGCCCAGTGGAGACATCACTCACATCATCTCTTAAGGGTCGCTGGTTCGAGCCTTAGGGCAACTTCAGTTTATCCATCTCTGAATTTGGTCCTTAAAGTTTGGGAAGCGAAGGAAAGCAGTCGAATGAGTTTCAGGCGACGCTCTATACCTCCTTGTTTATTTTATGGACCGTCAGGCCTATGGGAACCAGTTTCACTCTCACACTCATCTACCGAACGAGTATTTCTTTGCGGTCATCCAGGAAACTCAGTGTTTTTGGTTGAGTTGTTTGAAAGGTCAGGGTCAAACACAACGAGATTTTTTACCACGTGAAAATCAAAGTCAGGCTTCACAGAGTAGTGTAACTGGTTCACTTAAGCTAAAACATATTTATAACACCCCAAATATAACCTAAGAATTATATTAATATACGTTAACTATTTACTTTACTTTTATCACCAGTTAGAATAAAATATAATATATTACCGGAGCTTTTCCACCTTAATTTGGTCTCTTAACTGATCCTCTGTGAACATTATTAGTCAAGATATTGTGTCAGTATAATTTTGACTCGTTTTGACGTCCAGTTAGTTTCATTCTTACACCATAAGTTACGAGGAACGTTCATCTTACGATCGTTTGTGAACCTTCAACGTTTACTGTATCGGTAACCTCAGCTTGTCTCATCTCTCCTGCCTGTAGACACTTATCGTTGCCACCTTATCCTCCTAGACAACTACACTGGAAGATGAGTTTCCTGGTTGTATCGTCACCACTCGCGGTAATATTAAGTGTTCGTGTAATACTTCGAAACGGATGTAATATTTCACTGAGTACAAGCACTATCTCCTGTGTTGCTGGATAATGGTTGTGAAAAATGTCTGGTTGTGTGTTTATGGCCGGTGTAGCTCAGGGTTTATTTGTATATATTGTCTGGTAGTGAATAAGAATGATGTTTTAAGTCGGTTGAATTACCCTCTTAAGAATCTGGTGTGCTTATAAATCATCCGCTAATAACTGAAAAAGATCCAGTCGTCTTGGTCAGTCACACACACTTTGTTTCCCGAACTGTACAATAAGAGCTTAGGTGTACAGTCTACAACCTGGGACCTGAGTTGATTAGGGGCGGTCACTTCCATTGGGTGAGGAAGCGCCTGTTTTATCCTAGAAAACAAAGACTACGTGTGTGTGTGTGTGTGTGTATTCACTTCTTCATCAGTTTGTGTGACACGTTATAGATGCTGTCACCGGCGGGCTAATGACTACAGCATTTTTCGGCCCAAATGAACAGTTTTTCAGCTGATGTTGACGCACGCAGGCCAATAAACGGCATTTTGAAATCTGGTTGATAGTTGTAAAACATGAACTGACACTAGGAGACGCATACTTTGAGTGCGACCATTCACTGATGAGTATCGGAGTGAATGCTGTAACCAAAAGTATATGTCTCTTAGTATATTGTCAGTTCATGTTATACATCTGTTAATTAAGATTACAAAAAGCAGTTTATTAACCTTTGTGCGTCAACATAACTAAAAATCTGTTCATTTGATCAGAAACATCATGTATACACTCACAGTTTTGTCGTATAGAACATCTTGATCATTGTGGTGGGAGAATAAGGCACATTAATCTGTTCAGCCTCCCTTTCACACTATACACCTGAGTCTGTATTCCCTCTTTAATACAGAAGGTCATCACCAATTCACCAAAACATCTTAACAAACAAGATTTTTTTTTTATTACTGTGAAACGAGGAGACTAACGAGACCATCTGGCTTCTTCCTTATGTTAAGTTGGATGTCTGTCTGTCTGTCTGTGTCTGTCTGTCTGTGTTTGTCTGTCTGTCCTTTTTTTATGTGCAGACGCCAGATGGTTGTGTGTCCTTCACGCCTGTTGATACACTGTACTGAGAACCTTGTAAGCACGATAACACTCTTGGTTTAACTTCAGCCTCTTCGTCCTGTTTTAAGTTTGATTTCCATTTAAACTTTATAAGACTGTTCTTCCGGGGGAGGGGATTGACCAGACTATGAACTTTTTATTTTACCTTTCTAGATACACCTTTAATTAATGATGAGGATGAAGGAGAAAGGGTCTTATTTCAGTACTTATCTGCTTCCTGGTCCCTCATATGCCATAGTGAACTTATTAGGTAGAATCAGGTTGCTTTATGTCTCAGCTTGACTCAGGTTGCTTTATGATTCAGCTTGATTCAGGTTGCTTTATGATTCAGCTTGACTCAGGTTGCTTTATGATTCAGCTTGACTCAGGTTGCTTTATGATTCAGCTTGACTCAGGTTGCTTTATGATTCAGCTTGACTCAGGTTGCTTTATGATTCAGCTTGACTCAGGTTGCTTTATGTCTCAGCTTGACTCAGGTTGCTTTATGTCTCAGCTTGACTCAGGTTGCTGTATGTCTCAGCTTGACTCAGGTTGCTTTATGATTCAGCTTGACTCAGGTTGCTTTATGATTCAGCTTGACTCAGGTTGCTTTATGTTTCAGCTTGACTCAGGTTGCTTTATGATTCAGCTTGACTCAGGTTGCTTTATGTCTCAGCTTGACCTTCAATCTGTATCATAATGGGAGACGTTCTTAATGATGTCACTATTACTGGTGAGTCACATAAGGCCCTTGATGACGTGACGTGCTCATACACACACACACACACACAGACACACACCATTCCCTGTCCTGGTCCAAGTTTTCCTCAGCGTTAATAATGAGTGTCCTTGAGGCCTCTTTGTCATGGGTTGCATTGTGTACCATTTTTTCGGTATGTTCTCGTCCGTATGTTTATTTGTAAGCGTGTGACGTCGTCTTAAAAATACAACAACAACTTTTCTTATTTTTGTCGTAGCATCTATCGTATTTTTGGTTGAAATATATGAGGAATATTTTTCGAGTGGATTATTGTAGTTGTGTATTCAGTAATCTATATCAGTTAGGGGTTTTGAGGGCCGGTGTGTGTGTATGTCTGTCGTGTTTCTTAGTGGTGATTTTAGTATATTTCATTTTGACGACTTAGGAGCATTTACGTAAATGGATGTATTATAAACTGTGAGAGAATAGCATAAATCCTAACCTAACCTAACCCAACCCAGCCCAACCCAGCCCAACCTAACCTAACCCAACCTAACCCAACCCAGCCCAACCCAACCAAAGTTAAATGAAGGCGTTTGAGTTAAGGTATCGAAGGACTGTTTAAATAAGCTGAAGTTAAAGGCAGGAAGAGATAATGTAACCGTACAGTTAAGGGTGTGGGGTTAATGGTAGACCTTTGGGTAGGTTAGGTCAGTTAGGTTAGGTTTTGTTAGGTTAAGACTTTGGTTGTGATAGGTTTAGTTAGGTTAAGACTTTGGTTGTGATAGGTTTTGTTAGGTTAAGACTTTGGTTGTGATAGGTTTAGTTAGGTTAAGACTTTGGTTGTGATAGGTTTTGTTAGGTTAAGACTTTGGTTGTGATAGGTTTTGTTAGGTTAAGACTTTGGTTGTGATAGGTTTTGTTAGGTTAAGACTTTGGTTGTGATAGGTTTTGTTAGGTTAAGACTTTGGTTGTGATAGGTTTTGTTAGGTTAAGACTTTGGTTGTGTTAGGTTTAGTTAGGTTAAGACTTTGGTTGTGATAGGTTTTGTTAGGTTAAGACTTTGGTTGTGATAGGTTTAGTTAGGTTAAGACTTTGGTTGTGATAGGTTTTGTTAGGTTAAGACTTTGGTTGTGATAGGTTTTGTTAGGTTAGGTAGAAACCCTGAAAGGATCACCTGAAGATTAGACACCCTAACGTTAGGATTGCATTAGGGTGTGTTATTCAGGTGAAATTAGCCACGGTGTGTAACCTTCAGGCAATTAGTGAAATATAGCCAAATATTTGTCGTATTATTAATTCAAGATATACAGTAGCATTATCTAATGACGAAAAATCAATATTAGTTTATTTTTTAAGTGTATTTTATTATTTTAGATCATAGGTATAGTATTTGTGTTGTTACAGTATGTTTGTGTAATACTGAATGCCAGAGATATGAATTAACCTAATCCTATTGGCCGAGGCTTGGGGACGCTCAGTGGTGATTGGTTAATACAATATCCACTAGAAGAATTACCAGTTTTATCCAAATGAAATAATTGTATTAATCCCAACCAGCTAAAACACATTATAAACATTAAACATTTATCATATATTAAAATATTTGAAAAATGTTAATAAAAATCACATTTGGTTATCTTACCTTAGAGTTGATCTGATTTTTGTTCAGTAATACAATGAAAATAGGGCCGCTCTCTGTTCAAGGCTTCCGTGTTTGGATCGACGTATTGCACTTGTTGATATTGTTTATGTACTGTGTAATATAATGATACTGACCTAATGTGAATGTATATGATGATTTTACTTAATTACCTGTCTGTGTTTGTTTGTCTGGTTTATCTATCTGTCTGTCTGTCTATCAATGCTATAATACCACCGAATTTTAACTGAACTTGAACGTAATTATTCAAGCTTATAAAACAGCTTTAAAGTTCATCTCTGCGCGCCTCAAGATTCGCCCGACTTCCCAGCTTAATGTACCTAATTACTAACCACCCAAACGCTAACGGGGAGGGGGGTGGGGGAGGTTAGGGTGATTATATTTAAGGTGATATAGTCTGACGGGTTAAGTGGAGTGTGTGACGGGCGGAAAGTGTGTGACGGGTGAAGTGCGTTGCGGGTAGAGTGTATCAGGTGGAATTATTGATGAGTAGTGTGTGACGGGCAGAAAGTGTGTGACGGGTGAGACGTGTGATGGGTGAGATAACAAGCATGTGACAGGTGATGGATGAGGCGAGGCTGGTGGTGGCTATAAATGAAGGTCAAACACAAGGAGGTACAGCAGGTGACCTTGATGGGTGCTACGTGACTCCCTGTCAGCCTGGCTATCACCTGTCACAAGGTCATAGTGTCATTGGTTGTCACTTGTACCGTCTCTGTCTCCTAGAATCTTGAGCTGTACCGTCTATATCTCCTAGAATCTTGAGCTGTACCGTCTATATCTCCTAGAATCTTGAGCTGTACCGTCTATGTCTCCTAGAATCTTGAGCTGTACCGTCTATGTCTCCTAGAATCTTGAGCTGTACCGTCTATGGAACACTTTTTGTATTGATGAGTCAAAAGTATGTATCGCTGTAGTGTTTATGTATCAGGGGATGTAAACGTGTAGCCATGTAGTGAAGGAATGTTGTATTATATGAGGAGAAAATTATACTACAGGTTAATTATGTCTTTTAGTGAGACAAAACTTATGAATTTGATCTCTCTCTCTCCCACACGTCCCCGATTCTGCTGTAATGCTAGGATAACACACACACACACACACACACACACACACACACACACACACACACACACACACACACACACACACACACCATCTTGCGACATGAGTGGTACAGCACCCAGAAGGTCATTGCGTAAGAGGGGAGGTGTCCTCACTATCCGGTAGCGTCCTCCTGTGAGAACCTTACCAAGCAGGAGAAACATTTTTTAGGTGATTTTTTTTTATTCTTGGTAAGAGTAGTGTAATGTTGTTGTTGTTATGGCTTCAGTCACCTCTTGGCAGTGTGTTCTTCTTAGCTCAGCCGCCAGAAGGCACTAAGCCCTTGTTGATATAGTTCATCCGTTCGTCTCATTCAAACATCCAATATTGTTAGTGTTGTTTTTATTGTTATTATTATTATTATTTCATTCTTCATTTTTTCTCTCTTCTTCCTTCTTCGTAACTTCGTTCTACTCACAATGATAAAGCAAGAATAACAAGACCACCCATCACCTGTTATGCTTAGTCTAGGAGCTTGTGAAGGCGAGGGGTGGCAGATGGTATGACAGGTCAGTTATGACACATGACAGTAGGTGTTGAAGCGTGACATATGAAGCTGTCATGAGGTATATAATCTTACGTAACGGACACAGTTAACACATGATATTCCCTACAAAACATGACACACCTGACTGATATTCACAAAATGACAAACTTGACACTTGACACACAGTGGTACCTGCATGCCAGATGACACAGTGATAGATGAAACATGCAGTAAGTTTACACAATACAGTGATAGATGGCATGTTAACTTGACACATGACACAGTTGACACATTACATTAACTCCACTCATGGTAGTCGACACATGACACATTAACTCCACACATGGTAGTCGACACGTGACACATTAACTCCACACATGGTAGTCGACACATGACACATTAACTCCACACATGGTAGTCGACACATGACACATTAACTCCACACATGGTAGTCGACACGTGACACATTAACTCCACACATGGTAGTCGACACGTGACACATTAACTCCACACATGGTAGTCGACACATGACACATTAACTCCACACATGGTAGTCGACACGTGACACATTAACTCCACACATGGTAGTCGACACATGACACATTAACTCCACACATGGTAGTCGACACGACACATTAACCAACATATGGTAGCGACACGTGACACATTACACATCCACATGGTAGTCGACATGACACATTAACTCCACACATGGTAGTCGACACGTGACACATTAACTCCACACATGGTAGTCGACACGTGACACATTAACTCCACACATGGTAGTCGACACATGACACATTAACTCCACACATGGTAGTCGACACGTGACACATTAACTCCACACATGGTAGTCGACACATGACACATTAACTCCACTCATGGTAGTCGACACATGACACATTAACTCCACACATGGTAGTCGACACGTGACACATTAACTCCACACATGGTAGTCGACACGTGACATTAACTCCACACATGGTAGTCGACACATGACACACACCCACACATGTAACTGACACACTCCACACATGGTAGTCGACACGTGACACATTAACTCCACACATGGTAGTCGACACATGACACATTAACTCCACACATGGTAGTCGACACGTGACACATTAACTCCACACATGACATTGAGTCTATAGTTAACACGAAATGTAATAAACTGGACATAAAAAACCTGAGCTTGACACCTGGACAGACAGCACTGACAGGGAGACCGACATTTCACTCAGGTAATGACAGGTAAGTGACAGGTGTTAGTTACTGTGACAGTCTCTTTCTCTCTTAATTTTCTTTCTTTCTTTCTTCTAGTTTTCTATTCTCTCTCTCTCTCTCTCACACACACACACACACACACACACACACACACACACACACACACACACACACACACACACACACACACACACACACACACACACACACATCGCCGTTGTTCTGGCCACGAATTCTCAAAGCTTCTTATTTTTTTCCCCTGTATTATGTGTGTGTGTGTGCGTGTGTATGTGTGTGTGTTTGAGTGAGGCAACGAATCTAGTTTAGTAAAGAGTTAACTGTTATCCACGTCTTAGATTAACTAAGTTAGAGTTAGAGGTCTAGGGTGTTAACTTACGAGGGGGAAAACTAACTTCGGGTTTGTAGTGTATTTGTTAGATGTCATAATTTGTATGTTAATGAGTTAGTGATTTCTGATGTAGATAAGAGGGATATTTTTATTCACCCTCCTTCACTATACTCATCTCTTCCTCACTACTCCTCACAAACACT